CCTGAGCACGCGTATTGACAGCTGTTCATCGGTCTACGAAGAGCTCTAAAATCCTATAAATGACTTTTAAAAGCTCATAGAAGATTCACTTGTAAGTTGTAGCTACATTCATTTACAGCAACAACAACAACCAAGCAATAAAAATGTATATACGATACGACTGCGGTGCGAGCGTAGTACCGATGTGACCCTGATATGATCCCCACATTTCCATAATCAGCTCAGCTGTTTTGTTGCCTTTTTATTCACAGCAGTTTCGAGAAAAAGAGGCTTTTTGCCAGCATAAACATCTTAAAAAGCGTTCTTCCGAAATTTTAATTTTAATTTATTCAAAAAGTAGTTACAATTCTTCCACACAAGTACGCCTTTCTACAGCTACTTTTTAACTCCTTCCTACTCCTGTTTTCAATCACACCCCTTACGGTAGATAAGATCTAATATCTAGTCTTCTCGGATAGGGGCGAAAAATCTCAGAGGTCCCTGTGCAAGTTGCGCACGTATAATATCGCTTGGAGGTCCAAAATCGATAAGAGTAGGCTTCGACCGCCACCCGGGCAGAATTCAAAATTAACTCCCACCAAACTGAAAATATTTAATATGTCCGGCGCGTTCATATGGCCTTATTCAGTTGTGAGCGCCGTAGAACACACACAAAAATTTTGGCAATTTTTTGTACAGGGTACCACCATGATTTTGAAGACACCTTTTCGTAAGCTGAAAGAGAGGAGTGAACCATAATGTAGTGTGCGCTCTTTGCTCGCCCTCAGTCGGTATCAATATACCTAAAGACGGTAGAAGAAATGAAATCGAACACTCGCTATTTTCGCACTTGAAACCATGCACTGTGTGATGTAAGCCCAGGCACACATAATTTGCCCACCTTTATGACTCCGGACCAAGACATAGATTGAGCACCTCCACCCCCCACCCCCCACCCCGCCCCAACCACCCTTTTTACTTAAAAAAAAACTAACTGCTGTAAACGTTTTCAATCACTGTCTGAATAACACTTTAGTTGTCATCATCTAACATTGTGCTTCAAATAAAGAAGAAATATATACACGTGCAATCTCCACTTTTATTCCCTTCTACTGTTATTACTTGAAATATTCGAATAGAAAAGAGGGCTGGGTTAAGGGTCAAATTCTTCGCACGTAGAGTTGTGATGTAGCGGGGGGGAAAGGGGGA